GAGGAAAGAGGCTTAGTTCTCTCAGGTCAGAGCAAACTGTCCTGTCTTTCTGGGTCCCTTGAATCTACTTGCGCGTCTCCAGATCGCAGGCTGTGGCCGGGACGCCCTGTGCCCGGGTTTCTGCACAGCTGGCTCCTCTCTGTATTTCCCGTCTTTCAAATGTCACTTCCTTAAAGAGCGTCAGCTCCTTTCTGCACATGTTCACTGTAGCCTGCTAACACGCCTGAGTTCCTCTACCGCATCTGTGACACTTAGGGTTTGTCTTACTTATTATTTATTTTCCATTTCTCTCCTTAAGAATTTGAGCTCTCCAAGGGAAGAAAGGCCTGGAAGATGGATTTTCCTGTTCAGTGGTAAAGTCTGGGCTTAGTGTGGTGCCTGGTGCGCAGAGGCAATCAGTAACTATTTCTTGAAGGAATGACTGATGATGGCGTCTCCCGCCTCGCTCTGGAGGGCCCAGGCATCCTTGTTGGCCTTCTTCTCGTTACTCTCTGCCCCAGGCCTGGTACTGGGCTCAGGAAAAGCAGCGACTGAGTGAACTCCTGACCAGTGAATGAGGACACCACGGGGCTGGGCTGGGGACCCAAGCGGAGGACCGAGTGTCCAGCTCTCCCAGGCCTGCACCTGGTTTTGTGACTTTAACCAAAACATCCAAGGGGTCTGCCCCTTGGCCCACAGAGTGGCAAGAATACCACTCAACACCCAGCTCGCCGGTGCTGTGAGAATCAAGTTCTTCAGCAGATTTCTGAAGGTCTTTGAACAGTAAAAAGCACAGTGCAAGTGAAGGTCATTCTACAGCTGGGGCCAGTGTTCACTCTCCCATCCTTGCTGGAGGGCTCTGGGCTGTTGTGGACACTGTGGGTTCATCTTCTTGGCTCTGAGCGCCCAGGAGAGGGCAGGAGCAGCAGAGCACCAGAACCTTGTGCTGAGAGCCCCCCCCCACCAGCTGGGGGTACTGATGGGGAGGGGACCCCTCTAGCCTTGGGGTTTGCCAAGAGGGAGAGTCCACTGACTCCTCAGTCCCCAAACTACAGCTTCTTTCATCCGTTTGTGACTCCCTTCAAGGGGGAGATTACCTCCTGGGATAGTCAGGCTGGGTGGCCCCGGGGACACTTTCCCCACAACTGTCAACTCCTTGCTTGGCAGGAGAGATGCCTCTAGCATTACATACTAAAGAAACCTTCTTGACTGCACTCCTTTCAACAACGTATTTGTAATCAAGACATCTCCAAAGTCCATGTCTTGGGGCAGAACTGTTAGCAGCAGAAACGCATTTGTGGCTCAAGTTAAATCAAATGTGCCCAAGAAAGCAAGGATCTAATCCTTTAATTTTCTGCTTCTGCTCTTTTTTTTGAGACAGAGTCCCGATATGTCAGTAGAGTGCTGTGATGTCACAGCTCACAGCAACCTCCAACTCTTGGGCTTAAGCGACTCTCTTGCCTCAGCCTCCCGAGTAGCTGGGACTATGGCGCCCACCACAATGCCCAACTATTTTTCTGTTGCAATTGTCATTGTTGCTTAGCTGGCCTGGGATGGGTTCGAACCCGCCAGCCTCTATGTATGTGGCTGACACCGTAACCACTGTGCTACGGGCGCCGAGCCTCTGCTTCTGCTCTTGACCCTGTCCTGGGTTCCAGCAAGAAGTGAAAGAAAACAGTCTCATATCAGCGTGGTTGAGGAAGAATCCAAGGGTGAAAGTGACTTTAAAAGGTCAAGTTCAGGGGAGGTTTCTGCCACTCAGTGAGTGAGCAGTCATGGAGCAATTGACTGATCAAAACTTGCTTCTGTGGACATGGGATTTTTACACCACTGCTTGTCTGTCATTTTAAAAAACCATGGCTGGTTTTCAATTTTCCCTGGAAAAACTTATTTCTTTTTCCTCAGTAGGAATTCCCTTCATCTAGCTTTGTGCCTCCTTTTTCCCAGGGCCATTCACAGCTCTTCATGTTAGATGTACTGAAAGGGGTGTGGAGACGCCCAGGCAGGTGAGCCCCAGCTGAGAGCACTCCAGGGTTTGTCTACCCCGAATGGGCAAGTACCAGGCCCAACAACAGAGGGAGACACGCCCAGGGGACATTTCTGTGTCAGGAAAAGTGTAGCTGAGGGCTGCTTCTTAGTCATGAAGACTCAGCACTGGGAGAGAGGGAGGAAGAGTTTTGTTAGGTCTTAGTAACTCTGTCCTGGGCCTGCTGGTGGCAACGCTGTCAATGTGTCCCATGGCTGGAACTCCCACCCAGTATGGCCGTGCCCCAGGTGCTCAGCATGGTGTGGCTGTGATCCCAGCAGCCAGGGTAGGAGCAGAGGGCCTGGTCAGGGTCTAAAGTGACCGACCTTCGTTTTTGTCCTCTGGCTTCAGGGCCCTCCTGTGTCTAGTCCAACTCTGAGTATAACCCTTGGTCAGGAGTGGACATGGCCTCTGGGAGCTTGGCAGTGCAGGTGACCCCTAGTGACTGAGCCTGCTGCAGGGTCACCAAAGAGCCCTGGCATTCAGCTGGGCCCTGTGGGTATTAGCAGGTTTGAGAGCCCCCCTCAAGGGTCCTTGCCCTTGGCAACCTCAGCTGTGTAGATGTCCAGTTAGATAGTTGGTCCTTCCCTCCAGGGTGATTCCTGGCTCCTTTGAGAGGTCAGGAGTTGACCCCAGAGCCAGCTCCCTGGGCTGCAGGGCTAGTCCTGTGCCTTCCACCACAGCCCTGGGCCCAGGGGCCTCACCACGCTGACCTTGTTTCATTGTCCGCACAGTGGGAGTCAGTACAGGTGCCTGTGGAGCACGGTGCCGGACTTGTGGTCAATGCTTGCCAGGCATTAGCTGATGGCCTTACTGCATCCTAAATAGGACAGCCTATTGCGTTCCTCCAGCTAGGCACCAGTCTAGTTGGGGGTAGTCATGTAGCTACTCTCCTTAAGAAATTTAACAGGATTCTGCCCTAGGATGTCTGCTCTGAGGCCAAGGTCACCCAGAGAAATGTAGGGCAGGGCAGCCCTAGAGATGTGTGCAAGTTGGAATCCCCACCCTGTGAGCACAACAGGGGCTGGTCCAGCCCCAAAGTGATTCGAAGGGGGAGCTGTCCAGCTGCTGTTCAGAAAGAAGCCTGTGGAAGGGGTCCCTGCCCTTGCCGGGGGGTGGGGAGTGCTTCTGGGATCATGGACAGTGAATTCCTTCCTTACTGCGGACATTGTTAACAAGGGGAAGCCAGAGTCAGAAAACTTGAGCCTGCGTCCAGGATTCATCTCTGACTGGCCGTGCTCATGGACGAGCCCTGGGCCTCATTGAAAGATGGGTGTGATTACAACTCACTTCCAGCTGCCTAACTGTCACAAGGATTATGCACCCACCTGGAGGTGTTTTGTAAAATGTGGAACACTAGGGTAAATACTTCTGTTATTTCCAGGTAATGTAATGACCAGCGTACTGTATTTTTTTTTTTTTTTTGAGACAGAGCCTCAAGCTGTCCCCCCTGGGTAGAGTGCCGTGGCATTACAGCTCACAGCAGCCTCCAACTCCTGGGCTCAAGCGAGTCTCCTGCCTCCGCCTCCCAAGTAGCTGGGACCACAGGCACCCGCCACAACGCCCGGCTATTTTTTGGTTGCAGCCGTCATTGTTGTTTGGCGGGTCCGGGCTGGGGATTCGAACCCGCCACCTTAGGTGTACGTGGCTGGCGCCTTAGCCGGTTGAGCTATAGGCGCCGAGCCCAGCGTACTGTATTGTTAGTGATGGGGACGGGCAAACCTAGTTGGTTTTTAAGACCTCCTTGAGACTTCTGAGTATATAATACTTGTAGCTGTGTATGTACACATGTATACCAGAAACAGGAATTTTTAAAGAATTTCTCTTCAAGTGAAGTGCTGTTTGAATGTCACAGTTGGTGGTAGGTGCCTATTCAAAGACAGGCGTCAACCTGCTTCTCTAACAAGGCCAGCCCGTCAATATTCCTCTGAGGAGTAATGGGAGCCATCCAAGTAATTTATTTACATACACATTGAGAGATAGCTGGGAAAATTGTGGTGCTCAGCCTGCGTCTCCAGACCCAGCTGTAGTGCGCTATCACTGATTAATGGACTTAGTTGTTTGACTCTAATGCCTGCCCAGCAGGAGGAAGAAGAAAGACTTCATTAGTCAAAATGATGAAGCCGAGATCAGACATCAGAGGGGGAGACTGAGGAGCACACCACCTCGCCTGGGGAACTGCAAACTGGTGCATGTCACGGGTGATCGCAGGAGCAGACAGGAATTCCCACGGGCTCCAGTGGGAATTATCCAAAACCCGCAGACAGTTGAGGGCCCTCTCTAGACAAAGCCTCAGACAGGGCCTCTGGGTTAGGTTGAGAAATGACTCTTCATTTGTTCTACCTCCTGTTCCAGTGGAAATAACTTAAACCCTGCACGATGCTGTGACTGGCAGGCTCCTCAGGGCACCTGAATGCTTCCCTGACCCATGCCTGCCCCTGGACCAGGAGGGGCTGGTTGGAATGACTGTCTCTCACTCCCAACTCACCAGTAAGGCCACACCTGGGCCTCCCCATCCACAGACCTGCCAGGGAAGGGAGCGGGAGGAAGAACCCACACACGCGGACGCCTGCCCGCCACCCCAGCTGGCGTGGTGACTCCTGAAACCAACACGGAGCTCTGTTGGGCCTCGGAGAGGCTCTAAATGGCCTTTTAGGTGGTCCTGACAAAGATCTGGAGGGCAGAGGAGTGAGCAGAGCTGCTCTTGGGAAGCCCTGGAGGAGACGGCTTCCTGTGAGCTCATTCCACTCACGTCTTAGGAGGGAGCACTGTGGCCCATCAGGATGGCTGTGATCATTACTCTGCTGTCCCAGAGTTCCAAGCATGACAGAAGTGCAGTTACTGGGGAATAGATGTGACCAACACAAGAGGCTTTACAAATCCCCTCTTCGTGTCCACCTGGGCTGCTCCTAAAGGGCATTCCCCAGTCAGCCCTGGACAGCGTGAAGGCGGCAGCGTGAACGCAGTGTGCGCCTGAGCCAACTGCGGGACTTACCTTGGAGCAAGGCTGGTGGACTTGGCTCCTGTCGGTGAATCCAGACCTTCCCCCGGCTTTGCTGATTTCTCTCGGTTCATTTGCTGTAGGATCGAGTTCAATTCACTAATAACATTTGCCTTTGGGCCTGAGAGAATTGGGCTTTTGATCTCTGTGACGTCGCCCCACAACTTGGAGGTCCTTGGCTGGATAACCTTGGCCATCCCGGGCTGGACACTGCCCGGTGGGGGCGGGGGAGCGGGTGGGGGTATAACAAAGCTATCTGCATCCTCTTCCACGAGCGCGTCTTGGTAAAGTGCATTGCTTTTGTGAATTATGGGCTTCATTTTTGGCTTAGGAGGTACTGGGGGTTTGTCAACCATAAATGCTTGCCCATCTGCATAGACTGTGCAGGTGTCCACGTTCTCCCCGCCTTCGGAAGACAGGGTGGAGATGCTGGACACTGTGGAGATAGTGCTGGTCGTCTCGAGATGGTGGTCGCTGCTACTCCGGCTGTCCACCTCCTCGATCCCAGAGTCGGTGACAGCGTCAAAGCTCTCAGGGGGCGGCAGGAATGAGGCAGGCAGACAGTTCGAAAGACCAGCTGGCTTCTTGCTGTCTGCAGAGTTGGTTGGTTGGCTGGAGTTCAACGAAGGGGACTGAGGAGTATCGTTTTTTTTCTGCTTGACCAAGTCCGTGAGAGCAGGGACAGAAGCAGCACGGTCATCGGGGATATCAAAACTATTTGCAAATTCCAGGGGAGGAGGCAATGGCTCTGTAAAGATAAAATCCTCATCCAAATCCACGGATGCCAGAGGGGGAGGAGGGATGCGGAATGGCAAAATCACCGCCTCTTCCAGAGAGCCGACCGCCACGATGGCTCTGTCTGGCGCGGCGGCGGGCTCGGGGGCAGCGGAGATCTGTAAAGCACCTTCGGTTTCGGAAACACCTTCTGGCACCTCTGACAGCGAATGGTCAGGCTTCACATCCACGTCCACTTTCTCGTCCTCTTCCTCCAGGGAGTCCTGCAGCTTGGTGGCGTCCACGGTGTGGACCATCAGCAGCCCAGCTGACTTCTGCTGGGATGTGTCCACGATGTCAATGAGCATGTTCTTCTTGTCGTCGCCTCTCCGGTCCCTACCCAGGTCGGTCTCATACTTGTTCTCTGTCTCCTGACGCCGCAGGGGTCCCCGGGTGTTCTGCCTGGTGACCGGGGGGAAGCCAGTTTCCGTGCTGGGCCGCATTTTGGTGTCAACGTAAAGAGGTTTGTTGAGGTCAGCCCTGGGGGCCTCCCCCCGGGATCCCTGCTGGGATTCCTTTATGGCTCGGTCCCTTGCGGAGAGGGCCAGGGCCAGTGGGGAGCTAGGGCCGAGCAGCCTCCCTGTGAGCGGATGCACGTAATTCTCAGGGCCAGCTGCGCCACTGCTCTTGGGGGGCGCTGCCGGGCCGCTCTCAGGCCCAGTGACTTTGGATGTGGAATTCAGTGGCCTCCCGGCCTCAACCTGAGCACTGGCCTCGCCGCCACCCATGAAATGGTTCTCAGGCTCCCTGGGTGCTGCCCCTGGCACCGGGGACGAGAGCTGTTCGGCGCCATCCTCATCGCCAAACTCGCCCTCCTCGGGGAACTTGGAGGGCTGCGTCCTGGGGGCAGGCGGCCCTAGGCCCACGTCCTCATCCCCCAGGTCTGTGGAGAGGAAGGCCGGGGAGTTCCTCCTGGCTTCCAGCCGCTTCTCCCGGTCACGCACGGCCCCAGCGATGGCGGCTGCGAAGGGGCTGCTGACGGTCAGGCTGTCATCCGGCCGCAGCTGGCCCAGTGGCTCCGAGGCCTGAGGGTCGATCTCCATGCTGCTGCCCTGGCTGCTCTTGCCGCTGCTGCTGGTGGACGGCTCCTTCACGATGATGGTCGGGATGGGGATGGAGCACGTCTTCTCTGGGCTGTCCTCCACATTGGACTGCTTCACCAGCATCCCCTTCCGCCTGGCGGGCTTGGCGGGGACGTAGACGGCTTTGCTGGCGATCTTCCCCACCTCCGAGTATGGGTTTTCGGGCATCTGGCCTCTCTTGTTGCGGAAGGTGGCCTGGGGGGCAGCGTTCCGACTGTAGAGGTCATCGGAGTCCAGGGAGTAGCGGTCCAGCTCTCTCCGGTAGTACATTCCCTTCTCCCGCATCATGGTGGCCACCGTGTCAGACCTCGTGGCTGGGGACACCTTGGCGGCAGAATTCTGATTGAACGCGGGCTTTATGGTCCCATAGACTCTCGGAGTCGGGGACTTAGGGCAGTTGTAAGTGGTAGGGGAAGGTGGTGGTGGAGACGGGGGTACAGACTGTGGCGGTGGGGGGATGTCCTCGGAGGTGTCTGGCATGGACAGGCTTCTAGTGAACTTCAGCATCGGAGGAGCCAGAAATTGGCGCTCTTCCTCTGTTATTCCTATAAGTAGAAAACAGTTTTAAATCACAATGATAGAAAAACCCCACTAAGCTCCTAGGGTTGAGCCACATATTACATCTCCACAACTCACAGAGTCAGGGGACGCACGCGTGCTCACGAGACACAGCACAAGCCACGATGCCAAGTGGTTAGTTATGTGGCCCCTTTTGAGCCAGGAAAACAAGAACAGACAGGACAGGACAGGACAGGACAGAAGGGCACTGGGATGCAGTGAGTGTGTGCGGCTGTACTGTCCTCCCTGGGCATGTGTGTGGGGTGGGCTGTGTGAGGAAGCATGCAAGGCCACAGAGAGCTGGCAGCCAGCCTGGGGCTGCGTGTGCACCTGTATGTGTGCGCATGTGCCAGTATGTGTGTGTGTGTGCCTGTGTGTGCCTGTATGGGCACACCTGTGCCTATATGTGTGCACTTGTGCTTGTATGTATATCCATGTGGCTGGTTTTGTGTGCATGTGTGCCTATATGTGTGTATGTGTGCCTGTGTGTGTGTGTACCTGTATGGGTACACATGTGCCTGTATGTGTACACCTGTGTGCCTGTATGTATGCGTGTGTACCTGTATGTACCTGTGCCTGTATGTATGTGTGTCTGTGTGCATCTGTGTCTGTGTGTGTATGTGTGTCTGTGTGCACCTGTGTCTGTGTGTGCGTGTATACCTGTATGCACCTGTGCCTGTATGTGTGTGTGTCTGTGTGCACCTGTGCCTGTGTGTGTGTGTCTGTGTGCACGTGCCCGTATGTGTGCGTGTGTACCTGTATGCACCTGTGCTTGTGTGTGCATGTGCCTGTATGTGTGTGTCTGTGTGCACCTGTGTCTCTGTGTGTGTGCCTGTATGTGTGTGTGCGCCTGTGTGCACCTGTGCCTGTATGCACCTGTGCCTGTATGTGTGCACTTATGCCTGTATGTGTATACCTGTGTGCCCGTATGTGTGCGTGTGTACCTGTATGCACCTGTGCTTGTATGTGTGTGCATGTGCCTGTATGTATGTGTGTGTCTGTGTGCACCTGTTTCTGTGTGCCTGTATGTGTGTGTGCGCCTGTGTGCACCTGTGCCTGTATGCACCTGTGCCTGTATGTGTACACCTGTGTGCCCGTATGTGTGCGTGTGTACCTGTATGCACCTGTGCTTGTATGTGTGTGCATGTGCCTGTATGTATGTGTGTCTGTGTGCACCTGTGTCTGTGTGTGTGTGCCTGTATGTGTGTGTGCACCTGTGTGCACCTGTGCCTGTATGCACCTGTGCCTGTATGTGTGCACTTATGCCTGTATGTGTCCATATGTACCTGTATGTGTGCACCTGTGTCTGTGTGTGCGCGCCTGTGTGCACCTGTGCCTGTATGTGTATGCGTGTGCCTGTCTGCACATGTGCCTGTATGTGTGCACATGTACCTGTATGTGTGTGCCTGTGTGCACCTGTATGTGTGCACCTGTGCCTGTGTGTGTGTACTTATGCCTGTATGTGTACACCTGTATGTGTCCATATGTACCTGTACGTGTGCACCTGTGCCTGTATGTGTGTGCGTGTGCCTGTCTGCACATGTGCCTGTATGTGTGCACCTATATGTGTGCACATGTGCCTGTGTGTACCTGTATGTGTGCGTGCCTGTGTGCACCTGTGCCTGTGTGTACCTGTATGTGTGCACCTGTGCCTGTGTGTGTGCCTGTATGTGTGTGCGTGTGCCTGTCTGCACATGTACCTGTATGTGTGTGCCTGTGTGCACCTGTATGTGTGCACCTGTGCCTGTGTGTGTGTGCCTGTATGTGTATGTGCCTGTCTGCACATGTGCCTGTATGTGTGCACATGTACCTGTATGTGTGTGCCTGTGTGCACCTGTATGTGTGCACTTGTGCCTGTGTGTGTGTGCCTGTATGTGTGTGTGTGTGCCTATCTGCACATGTGCCTGTATGTGTACACCTATATGTGTGCACATGTGCCTGTGTGTACCTGTATGTGTGCGTGCCTGTGTGCACCTGTGCCTGTATGTGTGTATGTGTGCACAAGTGCACACTTTTGCTTGCGTGTCGGGGGAGAGTCTGTTCAGATGAGGACGCATCTGTCTGTCTGTGCCCTTTAAGGCCCAGTAAAGGTCCCCGGGAGGCTTGAGGTTGTCATCTGCCCACATGAAATGAGGGCAAAGGGTACAGGGCTGCAGGTGTACTGTGCCTGCTTCTGTGGCACAGACAGTGGCAGTGCCAAGGACCCTGCCCACTCTACCCTTGCTCAGGCTGCAGGGGGCCTGCTACCCATCAGCACAGCCTCATGTATGCTGTAGGGAGGTGTTGATGTCACTGTGATGGTCTCTTCCAGGGTGATGTGAACCTGTTTTGTTGTCTGACTTCTTTGGACCACACTGAGTGCTGTGTACTAAGGCTCCCTAGGTCCTGAGAAGGGTGGCTGTGAGGTGGCTGGCTCAGAGGAAGGACCATGTTGGGCCTGGAATACACCCCTGAGGTAAGGGAGCCCAGATCCCCTCTTTAATCAAAGACCTCAAGCCAGGAGCCCGTCCTGAGCACTCACTCAGCTGAAGGGCCTCGGTGAGCTCTTCTGGGCTATCGTGGAAGCTCCAGAACTGGTCCTATCGAAGGCCCTCTGAGCAGGTGTTTGGGGTGCAGCACGCTGGCACGATCGCGACCGCCCAGGGTCCACATTCACCTGACTTGGCACATAGAGTCAGAGTCAGGGGCTGCGAGTTGACTCAGCAGGTGTTGGGCGTGTGAGGATGTGGCTGAGGCTGTGGCCTCAGGGTTCTCTGGATGTGTTGACTGTGTGTGGCCCTAGAGACTGCTCAGCTGTCCCAGATGAGAAAGGTTCACAGAAGGCACTCCAGGAGGGGGGGCACAACACGCACACGCGGACAGGGCACAGTACCAGGGTCTCACGGCAGGGGCATGCAGGTTTTTCAAAATAAATTACTTGAAATTAAAAAAAATTCCTAGGACAAACTACAAGAATTTATTCCAATGAAAACTTCCATTTGATAAGGGTATTCCAAATTCAACATACTCCTTGTGGGAGGATATTTTGGCATTGCAAAGATTGGTTGCTAAAGGCATTCTTCATTGACCGTTCGCTACATGTTGGTTGCCTGACAGTTATGTTCCCAAGGAGTAATAATTTAAGAATACGCCTTATAAAGTAAATTGGATTACATTCAAATTACAGATTCCAAACTGTAAGGATTCACTGACCTGATAGAAAGATTCTGCTGTCTGACAGGAGGAAATCAACTGTTATTAACCAGTAAGAGAGCCAGTGATTCAACATGGCGCACGCGGCTCTGCTGGGGCCCGGCGCCTGCTGGCGCTGGGTGAGCTCTGCACACAGCTGTGCCACCTCCACAGTCACTTCCTGCTTAGTTACTGCCTGCTGTGTTCATCCAAACTAGTGACAAGCGCACTCCACTCCCAAGTGCAGCCAGGAGGTGCTCCCAGAACACAGAGCAGTGACCCTGGGGTGGGCTGGGCTGAGCCACAGTCCCCAGGGCCACCTGCACAACTCTTTACAGGGCAAAGGCCCATGGATGTCTGGCTCAGGGCTTAGATTCTATGAGGATTTACGTGGTAAAGACAAAGCTGGATTATCTCACAAAAGGATAGTCTTAAAAGGTCAAGTTTACCTTTGCCTGTAACAGAGTCAGTAGAAATAACCGTGACATTAACAAGGGAAGTAGTTTCTACAACACACAGTACATTATTTCATTAGGACCCACAACCTGACCCAACCACCCTTAGACGTATGTCCATTAAGCTTGTCCTCTAGAACATGCCAGTGGCCTGGGAATGCGGGAGCCCCCTCGCCCTGCCCACTGAGCCATGCAGGGTGGCTGGGGGCTGGCCTAGAATACCCCGTGCACCCTCCACCCCAAGGGTATTATCACAGATGACTTGGGTTTAGGAGTATAGGAGCTGCCCTGGAGTTCAAATCCACGGACATAAGAAGTTTCACACCACTCAGATGCTCAGATGGCTGCCTGGCAGGTGAACCCAGGTTCTTGCCCTCTAGTGGGTGGGCGGGTGAGGACTTGGGATTAGGTGTGCCAGAGCAGCTGTGGTGGGCCCAGTGGCCCAGGCTCCCTGAGGGGCTCTGAGGTCAAGGGGCGACTTCTGTGGGTGGGGCCACATTTCTTACCTATAGATTTCTGCCTTCGCATCGTACCTCGAGGGATGCCCAGAAATGGGCCTTTTGGGCTCCCAGGAACAGTGGGCGTCATCACAGCGATTCCTTGGCGTTCATACACGGACTGTAACCAGAGAGTCCAGGTGAGGTGTAGTCCTGGCCAGTCCCACCCATGGTGACAAAGCCCAAAAGGTGATAAGGACACATCTGTCACTGCCACTTCCCTGGGCTGCTTCTAGGAGTGACCTAAAGTCTCTAGTGAGGCTGATGGGACACCAGCACACAGGTCCCAGGAAGGGCCTCACTGTGCCTTTCCTGGTGCTCCTGCTGCCATCAGCCTCTGGCCTGTTGGGGGGACAGCACACCTGCAGGGCACACCTACTGGCAGGGCTCTGAGTGTGCGGTATGCCTTGCACAGTTCCAGAGAGGAGGGAAGGAGTGAGCATTTAATTTTCATCACTAACAGTTTTGTTTTAATGCATATAATATAAAACATCAAACTTAGATATTTATGGGCATTGTGTTTTAAGAAAAGGCTGGATTAACAGTGGGTCTGTTAGACATTGATTCAAAGAGAATACTAAGTAATAGAAACAGGCAGTGCTGGCCGAGTCTGGTGTCTCGCCCAGGAAGGGAGCAGCCTGGGTGGAGCCGCCTCTGGAGGAGGGAGGATGGGGCAAGGTCTGCTCTGGGCCAGGCACCCAGCGTGCCCTTCCTTCTCAGCAGTTACATTCAGAGTACAGTAGATCTGTTGCCCAGAAAGTCAGAGTGCCTGGCAGGTGTCTGTGTGGCCTCTGTCTATGGAAGGCCCTGTCTCCTTCCACACAGGTGCTTGTGTGCTCTGGGCTCCCTTCTGTCTGAAGAGCACCCAGGGCTCTTCACAGCTGAGAGCTCACAGATCCACCGCCGAGCATGTGGTGGCGGTCCCTCGAGGCTCAGGGCACTGAGTGACTGAGCCGTGGTTGTGTGGTAGATGAGTGGTGAGGCTTGGGTGCGAGTGTGGGCTGTGGCCCCCACTGTGGGACTGCATTAGGCCAGGGCATGCGTGCTGTGGCCACTTAGATGTGGCTCCATCTGGATGGCACAGGGAGTGTGACCCTCAGCTGTGGAGCCAGCTGTCTCTGTTTTTGCTGAGCCCTCCCACTTCCCGCCCCCACTATGCTGGAGCTACTGCCAGGGACACAGCAACTCACGTTCATGTCCGAGACAGATGGGAAGCACCGGCTGGTGGGCCGCTGCTTGATAGTGGCCACTCTGGACTCCACGGCCATGTTCTCAGCAGCTCGAGAGGGCTTGGAGGCTGGGACGATCTCCTCGGGCTTATCTGCAACACAACCGGGGGGATTGGAGCAGCCCCACTGCACTGTTGGGGGGGGGGTGTGGCTCGGTGAGGAAGGTAAAGGCCGCCTCCAAAACCATGCAGGGAGTGGGCACGCGTCTCTCTGCCACAAGCGTCCTACAGGAACGTCACTGAATTCCCAGACCTCAGGAGGGGGGCCCTCCAACAGACTGGGATAGGAGACCTTAGAAACTCAGGAAGTGTCAAGATGCCAGGGGCCCTGAAAGTCTAAGATGTTTCCTTAGTGATGTCACTTTATTTTATTAGTGGGACTTTTTTTTTTTTTTTTTTGAGACAGAGACTCACTATGTCGCCCTGGGTAGAGTGCCATGGCATCACAGCTCATAGCAACCTCCAACTCTTGGGCTTAAGTAATTCTCTTGCTTCAGCCTCCCAAGTAGCTGGGATTACAGCTGTCTACCACAATGCCCAGCTATTTTTTGTTGCAATTGTCATTGTTGTTTAGCCAGCCTGGGCCAGGTTGTCACCCGCCAGCCTCGGTGCATGTGGCTGGCGCCATGACCGCTGAGCTACAGGCACCGAATCAGGGGGACTTATTCTTTTTGTGTTCACTAAGCCAGTTTTTGGAAATTTATGAGATTCAGAACGTGATTCTTTTATAGCCAAATGCAGTTGCCAAGACATGAGGACCCAATACCCAACGAGGGGGCCACCTGGCCTGTGGGATGAGGAGCCAGGGCACTCATGAGCCCCCAGCAGTCTGAGTATGGGCTGCACACGGAATTCCTGCCCATTTATGTCTCCCAAGAGAACATTCCACTTCTTTTTGAAAAAGAAAGCCAAATACATAAGTGATCCCTAGAAATTAAAACAATTTTTAAAATAGAAATTTAAAACTTTTTTTAAAAATCGAAAAGTACATCCTAGAACTACCCCAATGCATAGCTTTATCTCTGAGATGTCTGGACCTGTCAAAACGCAGTTCCTGGAAGCCTCCAGAATCAGAGTCTGGGATCCTGAACACATTTTTCAATTTTGTCCTTCCAGAGATAGCGTCTCACTCTGTAGCCCAGACTGGAGTGCAGTGGCACAATCAGAGCGTACTACAGCCTTGAACCCCTGGGCACAAGCGATCCTCCTGCCTCAACCTCCCAAATGCTGGGACCCCGGGGGCACACCAGCACAACTGACTAACTTTTCTATGTTTTATAAGACAGGGTCTCAGTATCTTGCCTAGGCTGTTCTCAAGTCATCCTCCCTCCTCAGACTCCCTAAGTGTTGGGATTACAGGGCTGAGCTGCCATGCCTGGCCCCCATGTGCACTGTGGGAAGGGTCCAGCCCACCCAGCTGTGTCTGGGAGACACCACTGGCCGGGAGGAGGCCAGTGCAGACAGCTGCTTGGTGGGCACAGTCCATTTTGGATCCTGACTTGCTCCTCAGGAGAACATTCTGCTATAGCCCAAGGCCTCCCAGGTAACCCCAGTCCCACTCCTGGAGTCTGGGGACTTCCTGTGATATGCAAGCCATCAAAAGGGCCCAGACCCTGAGACCTGAGGCTGGCGTGAGAGCCTGGGAGCTGGCCAGAGCCCAGGGAGAGAAGCCCACGTCTTCAAGTTGTTCAAGACACTGCAGCAGTTACTTGTAATGGCAGCTTCCTGCGAGGACCTGAGCCCTGGGTAGCGCCCCCAGAGCAACAGCACTAGTCTGTGTCCCCCAGCATCAAAGCACCAGCCTCCTGACAGAGGTGCTCCCAAGTGGAGGCACAGGGAGAGGAAACAGGTGAGGTGCAGAGCTGGGCCCCTGCCTCGGTTCCCCCTCAAAGCAGCCCACGCTTGTGCGCTCTGACCTGATAGGAAGCACGTTAGTGCTGAATTCCAGGTTAAGTTGTCTGATGCCAGGCCTGTGTTCAGGACCCAGGGTCATCTCAGGCCTATTCTTGTGTGGCCCTTGGCTTCAGGGCAGTTTTTACATTTTTAAAGAGTTATAAAAAGGAGAAAAGGAAAGACAATGTGCAGCAGAGACCATATGGGCTCCGAACATTCACTGCCCAGCCCTTTGTGGAAGATGTTTGCTGACCTGGTCTGGACCATTGTTGCGGTCTCCTCGCCAGCAAGATGCTGAGAAGTCACACAAGGCAAGAAGGTCCACACCTCACCTGCTCTGGCCGGCAGCACGCTCTCCAGCTTGCAGGCTCACCTGCGCCTACCCCCTGGGCACCTCTCCTGTGACTCTGGGACCCACAAGTTCTCCTGGCTCTTCTTTGACTTGGCAACATGGTTGATGCCACCTCCTTGGGGAGCGTTTTGTCCCCTCTATGGATGGCAAGCATCTGCCCCTTAGGGAGCTGGTCAGGCACAGTGAGAAACGCCCAATCGGCAGGGGGACCCCCAGCTGCAGTCTCCTATGCCCTCACCTGTGTGTAAGGCTCCCATCTCCCCCCTCAGCCCAGCTCCTCCTGCTATCTATAGCCGCCTCCTCCCACCGTGGCTGGACCCCTGCCCCCACCACGGGGCTAGGTGCCATGTCCGCCTGCCAGATCTCAGTGGTGTGCTTCCTCCAAGCAGCTTTTCCCTCACAGATCTGGGCTGGGCTCCTTTTGTGCCCTTTGACGCTGGTACTGAAGCTTCTGTGCAGGGTCCTCCGCCTGGCCACGTCAGCCAGCCTCACTCCCGCTCCTGGTGCAGGTTCTTTCTCGGCAGGGCCTCAGGTGATACTTGCACAACCTGCTTTGGTGAGCTGACTGACGCACAGCGTGGTCTGTCCCTAGAAGCTAGGACCCTTGGCAGTGGCTGTCGGCTGAGAGTGGCTGCTGGGGTGGTGTCTATAGCAGAGAGGGTGAATGTTCCCTCTGGGCCCCATAGCCCACAACTGCAGGGAGCCATTCTGGGACCCACCGGCTCCTTCACAGCTGGCCCGGCCCCGCCCCTGACCCCAGTGGAGAGTGAGGCTTGAGGGGAAGCGGGAATATGGGCCCAGAGGGCAGGCCATCAAGTTAGGGGAAGAGCAACCGGAGCCCACTGCAATGTCTCACGGGGCTGTTTGAATCCACACCGCCCAGTACTGCACACAGCTGTTCAGAGTGAGGGAGGTGCTCCTGGCTGGACAGGTGAGCCAGGGCTGTCTACTCGCTCCGTCCAGATTCTGCTGAGATGCAGGAGAGGTCCATCACAGCTGGGAATGTCCCTCTGGGCCTGGTGGGAGCTAGAAGTCACACAAGTGATGGGAGCTAGGTCTGGGCTGCTGGAGCCAGTGAAAGTCATCAGCTTTGGAGACTGACGGAGGTGCTTCACCAGTCAGATACAGAAGGCCGTGCCCTGCAGGGAGGGCCCTGGGCGCAGGCTGGGCACATCAGGAGTGGGGGACCCCAGGGTGGAATAGCTCTCCGGGGCTTAAGATTTAAACTAGCCACATGTCCCAGAAGCTCCAGTTTCTAGCAGGGACATTCCAGAAGCCACAGTGTGTTTCTTTTGTGTGAATAAACCTCAAAGCTGATGGGCTGCTCACGTCCATCCACAGCAGGCTTGTGCCCTAGAGCATGTGGCAGCACCTTGAAGATATGGCGCCCAGGGGGTGGCACAGGCAGTGTGACCAGTAACTACGGCCCTTACCGGGGGCTGCTGAGAACCTGGCTGTAGGGGAGGAACGACTCCCATTTTGCAGAGAAAGTAATTGAGGGCTCATGCTTAAGGTCATACAAGTGGAAACTGTGGGACCGGGTGGAGCTAGTGTCAGGGTCACCCAACCCCTGTGCCTGCCGTGTGGATAGAGGGGCCCAGGCCTGGCAGTGAACAGCAGCAGAACGTGTATTTGAACATTGTTAGGGTCACTATCAGGGTGATCTGCCTAGTCTGGTCCTGACCAGCGATGGGGAGGGGACACTGTCCACGCCATGGTCACCACATCAGAGGGATGGCTTTGGTCATGTCACTGAAGGTGCATTCCCTAGAACTGTGGCCACCCTGACTGTGGACGTCCTGGTCTCTGTTTTAGACTCCCTCTCCCGCCTCTATCCTCAACACAAACGTTCTTTTGAACTAGAACATGTGAGAGCAACTTGGTTTGTTGGGGGATGGGGTGGGCTTGGGGCTACAGTCCCTTTTTAAGTCTGTCTGTGTCATCTGTGTGATGCAGATGCAAGGAGGGAAATCCCTGCCTGGGTCTCCTCTGGGCCCTGGTCTCATGGATACCCTGGCTAAGGGGAACCTGGTGGCCTGACTCAGCTCAGCACCGTTTTTGAGATCTTATTCACTGGAACTTGTGAAGGCTTTTAAGAGAAGCTGTAACACTGCAGCCCCCCTGCCCACTCTCGGCTCCATCGGGAAAAGCCAGGAAGTGGGTCTCTGTTCAGAAGCTCTAGATGAAGGCATTACTGAATGAGGTCCCTGCAGTCGTAAAACGAAGTGCTTGGTGAATGAAAACGATCCTCAGACAGATCTGAAAACTGTCAAGTCTTAAAGAACAATCCAGCAATGAGCGGATGGAGGTGCTCCGGCAGCAACCCTGGGCCTTCATTCTCCTCAGAAGACAGATGTGACGCTAACCAGCCATAAATTGCCAGCTTCTGGGAGGAGGGAAGAGTGTGCTCTGGGAGGGGAGGTGGTGGCTTTGCCAATTGGTGCCACCATGGTTTCCCAGCCCGGGAGCTGACTTCAACGTGACTGCCCCTGAGAAAGTGCAGATATCAGCTTGCCCTGTGTATTCCCGCTGGACAGCCCTGCCACCATTGTGCATGCACAGAGTCACAGGGAGTCACCAAGGCAGGGAACAGGATCCCCACTGAAGCCACGGTGGGCCCACTGTCTGGTGAGGTCCTCTGCCTGCAGCACATGCAGCGTGAGCACTATCTGGTCAAGAGCACAGTGCCTTGGGGAGCAGCGCAGACCAGATGCTGCAGACACATCCACTGAGACCAGGACTGAGCTGTTCCAGCTCCCCGGCTTTCCTGGTGATCAGATTCCCGGGGTGCTTCACACCAGCTGCGATGACATGCACACCCGTCTGCGCCCAGCTGCTGCTCTTTGCATGTGAACTCTGAACCTGGTGGCTCTGCTCACCTCCAGAGTGCAGATGAGAGCGCAGCGCGGGAAACAAAACCATCCACAGCTGTAGGGGACAAACGCCATATGTGTTAGAAGCAGCGGCCAGCTGGCCGGCCTGATGGTTCACTCTTCCAAAAAGGCAGTGAAGGAGTGGGCAGGGGGCACCTGGACGCTGGGCACTGATCCTGGCCCACAGGCACCGAATCACATGCTTTCCAAGGGTGAGGCCTGGGTGCAGACAGAGGTGCCCGGCAGGGGGAGGCCACAGTCCCTGCCATGTGCCCTGTCTCACCTGCCCCTGCCTGCCAGGTGGGGGCTTCTGCCAGAGCCCCCCACAGCCACCTCAGGCCAGGGTGCACTCATGAGGGGAGGTGGGGGGTTTGTGCACCCTGGGATCTGAGCTGAGCATGGTGTCTGGGGACTAGGGTGGGTGCTCAGTACATTTGTAGAGTAAATAAAGGGGTTTTAGAGACAGAAACACTAATCAGGGTGTAGCTTAGGCAGAGTAGAGTTGGGATTTGAGCTGTCTCACTATTATGTTAATTTCCCAGGGCTACCAATACCAGTAACACCAACTGGGCAGCTTAAAACTCCCACATTCTAGACACTGGAAGTCCAGGGTCGAGGCCTGGGCAGTGTCCAGGGTCACGCTCTCTCTGAAGGCTCTAGGGGAGGCTCCTCCTGCCTCTCCCGCTCCTGGCGGTGGCCAGCAATGCTTGGAGTTCCTTGGCTTGGTCCTTCCTTCTTTTGTGAGGAAACACAGTTGCTGGATTTAGAGCCCGTGTTAATCCAGTGTGACCTCCTCTTGGTTACATCTGCAAAGACCCATCTCCAAATAAGGTCTCATTTGGAGGTTCTGGGTGGATGTGAGCTTTGGGAGGACACTTTCCAGCCCGTGCAACCGTAAAGACCTGACTTTCCTCTTGTTGCCTGCAGCACTCTGTGCACTTGCTGTGTGCCACGCGCTTTCCAGGTGCCGTCCCTGTGACCGTGCGGGTGTGGAGCTGAGGCTCAGGGACTGCCGGACCCTACACTGTGCTCGACGGCTGTGGCACCCAGTCCCCTCGGGCCCCTGCTGCATGCCCCAGCACAGCAGGGCTGGTGTGTGTAATCCACATTCACAGCCAGTCTTCTCTGCTGTGCACATGGAATGTGGACCCCCACTGCCTGGAACCCTGGCTTGTCCTCTGTGTGGATTCACCTGGCCATGCAGCCCATGATCTCTGTCCCCTGATCTGCCACCACCGTCTTCCACAGGTGCCGCTGAGGGAGGGGGGCGGGTGGGTGGGGCTAAGTCCAGGCAGCCCACAGGTGCCCAGGGAGGCGCTGCCAGCTCCATGTTCCAAGCTGTCCTCCCTGACAAGAGATTTTCGTGGCCAGCTCTGCTCTGGTGACTGGGCTGCTGGGAGCCCATGGTGGAGTGTGGGTCTGATGAACAGAGGGGCCATTCTGGCAAGCTGGGGTTTGGCCTTGCATTGAAGGGAAAGCTCGTATAGAAATGTAACCTGTGACCATCAGTGAGAAGGGAGCTCTCTGCTGTTCATCCTCCATGCAGTGATGTGGCCTGGGAAGCCTGCCCAGAACGCCCAGGAATCCCCACCACCAGGGTGATGGAACCCTGGCCATGCAGCCCATGATCTCTGTCCCCTGATCTGCCACCACCGTCTTCCATAGGTGCCACTGGGGGACAAGGCACATGCCAAGGTGGTGGTGAGGGGCAGTCAGGAGAGGAGAGAGGAGGCAATGGTGGTTCTGCCCAGAGATGCCGGCCTTGCTGGATCCCAACCCCACTGCCCACTTCAGCATTTGGAATAGAGTACGGATGTGACTGGGGTCAGTGCCGCCAGCCCCTGGTAGGGCTCCCTTCCATTCCATGGAAAGAGCAGTCTTAAGTTGGGGGTGCTGCTTTAAACTGCTGTGGTGGCTGCAAGGGGCCATGCCCCCATATGAGGATACTGTGTGGAAGGCGGCATCTGATTCCTTCTGGCGCCTGCTGTCAGGGCTTTCAGTCCTTTCCTTCTGTCCCCTCCCCCAGTGAAAGGTACAGTCTCCCTCACCGCGGTGGCCTGTCGGGGAGCAGGGGCTTTCTGGGTGCTAAGGGAGGCATTCATGGGGTCAGGAGTGCAGCCAGGAGCTCCCCCTGCACTCCATCCAGGCAGCCCCGCATGACTGCATCCCCTGGGAGGCCTCACAGAGCGCGGAGGCCACCTGTCCAGCCAGGCAGGGCCCGCTGTGCCTGAGCGGGGGTCCCTGATGGTTTCATGGTGGCGAGGATGTGGACACAGCTTAGGGAAGAAACACAGGACACGGAGGAAGGAATCACAAACAGAAGAAGTGAAGCAGACGGGACAGATGGAAACGGGACGGGTTCCAGGGATGGGGAAACAGAGGCGACAGCAGGGGGCTCGGGGCACACTGCAGACTCCACGTGGCGGCCACAGAGGGGGTTTCTGTTCCACAGGTGTGACGGGCAGGGGACCAGACGGACATTTGCTCCTCCCTTACCCTTCTTCCTCCGCACCGAGGCTTGCAAACAGAAAGGAGCGCCGTGAGCCACTGCATGGCACCCCCCACCCCCGCTGGGGCTGCGTGGAGGCAGGGGTGCTGCGGACGGGGCTGCACTACCTCCAGCAGCCTGGCCCTGGTGGTGCCTTCCCACCGGCCCTGCTCGTAGGCCTGCCTGGCGAAGGAGAAGGGGCTCTCCCAGGTGCTCCCCATTACACCCCTCGCCCCTGCTTGCACCTGCCGAAGGGGATGTGGTTTCTGCCAGAGCAAGTGTGAGCAGAGAAGCAGGGCTCAGGACCCCTGGAGGGCTCCTTGCCCCTGGCTGAGCTGGCACTCACTGGTGCGGTACCCCTCCTTGTAAAGAGGAGCTGTTTGCTCGCCCCTCTTGGGGAGCCCCATGACAGGGCTCTTGGAAGGGTGAGCCTGACCCTTTATGGAAGAGTGTTTGGAGACTCACACCTCTGTTACCTATAGGGTCTAGGGCATATGGAAACCAGGGTCTTCCTCATAGGTCATGTTTGAACAAGATGAGGTCAAGGCGGGGGCCAGGAGAACGGCTTGGGGGCCCCGTAGCAGGGCTGTTCTCTAGAGGACTCAGGTGCTGTGTTGATCCACAGATTCCAGCTGCGAGAGGTGGCCGGCCACCCTCAATGCCCTGGGCCAGGGATGCATTGTCCACTGCTTTGCCCCTGTGGCCAGCGTTTGCTAGGCCCCCTGGATAGCCAGGAGGGACTACGCAAGTCAAAAGACCAAGGAGGGAGGTTCAGCTTTCAGCCCACAAGGCCGAATTGGCCTTGAACTTGGAGCTGTCTCTGTGCCTATGTGAGCTGCCCACACCAGCCCTTATCTGTGCTTTTGGTGGGGCAGGCGTTCCCTCCCACCCGCCACTCTGAGCCTCAGAGCCCTCTTCCTAAAGGTGTTCCTGGGCTCCATGGCGACTCCCCAGCATGGCATTTAACAGCATCTGGGAGGCTCACACAGCCAGCTCCACAGTCAGCCCTCTTTTTAACAGCCACTGCAGCCCACATGGCTAATAGTCACTGTTCCCTAGTCTACCAGACGGGACCCAAGAGCCAGAGCCCCTCTCTGTTCCTTGCAGACCATTTAAGAAGGTGCTTGGTGCTCCCTAAGCCTGGTGAGCAGACAGACATCCCCCAAGCCACCACTACACCACATCCCTGGGGCTGGAGCCTTCTGGTCTGAGCCACGTGTGGCCACCTGGGGAGCAGCTCACACAGGCCCCCAGGGCTGGTGTCAGTGGGGTGCCCTAGGTAGCAGGGGGAGCTGCTTACCTTTATCCACTAGTGAGAGGCCCAAAAATTCAAAACAAAGCAATGTTAGAAAAGAGAAAAGAGGGGGGCAGGCCAGTAATGACAGGCACGAGGCTCCCAGCGGCACGGCCAAGCACAGGGCAGCCGGCGTGCAGGGCTTGGCTGACACCACCGCCAGGGCAGGGAGGGCTGAGCAAGCGGACAGGGTCACATGCAGGCTGGGGTCCCAGGGAGGGCAGCTCAGGGACAGGCGCTGGGCACCGTGTGGGCTGGGGGGGGCCAGACGGGTGACTCTTACCGAGTTCCTCCAGCTCCGAGGTCATGGACTTGGAGCGAAGGGTGAGGGCCGTGGTCGGCGCACGCTTTGGAGGCGGGGGAGCTTGACGGCAGGTGGAGAGACAGGTGTGAGCTGGCTGCACCCCCCTTCCCCCACCCCACTGCCTCAAGCCCATCCTGGCCTGTGAGCCTGTGGTTTTCGGTGGGGACGGTGGTGAACATGGTCACCAGGAGAGGCCATTCTGCGGCCTGCGTGTGGGCACATCCCAGGGCAGGGGTTTCTGCAGGCTCCATGCAGGCTGTGGTGGTCAGGGCCCACACAGGTGTGCTCAGGACAGGGGAGATGGCCACTCAGAGGGCCTCACCCTCTCCTCAACAGGCTTGGGACAGGGAAGGGAATGCTGAGTGGGAAGCACAGCAGAAGGCTGCTGGAGGCCTCTGTCTGCATGTGTCTGCTGATGGCAGAGGGGCACAGACTGTTCTGGCAGCCTCTGAGCCCTGAGTCAATGTCATGGGCCCCTCTTCTGGTGCCTGGCTCTCAGGTGGGCAGCTCAGCTGGAGAGAAGGCCCCTGGCTGCCCTGTGCGCCCTGGCAGGGTGTGAGGGGGGCTGGTTAGCGTGGAGTGTGTACCTTTTTTCCTGGCAGTGTCATCCGGGTCCAGATTCCTGGTCACTGTGACCACCTTAAGGACAAGGTGATTTCCTCCCTGGCGGATCATGTTCACCACCTGCCTGTGGCCAACTTTGACGACATTCTCATTGTTAACCTGTGGGAAGACAGGAAGGGCGGCATAGGTGAGAGGGCCAACCGGAAGGTGGGCTACAGGGCACCACCATGGCAGAGAAAGAAGTGTGGTCTCCTGAGCGGAGGGCGAGGGCATGGAGGGAAGGGCCGTGTTGGGAGGCCACTGTCTTTCTGGAAGCAAAGGTGCTTGCTAGGAAACCAGAATGAAAGCCCCTGGGGCCGGGGAGGGCTCTGCAGCTGCCCAGGGTTGGTCACTTGTGCCGGCCTCAAGCAACTTTAACCAACTGCGGGCCGAGCCCCTGCTGGAGGCTCCCAGGCCGGCCGCAGCATTACACCTTCCCATTTCATGACAAAGAAGACACACGGCGCTGAATCGCTTCTCCCATGTTTTGGGAACACACATCACGCCGACTGGGCCCATTCCCCTCTGTGCTCCCCCTCTTCTCTCGCACCCCGGAGGCCTAGGAAGGCATGAGAGCCTGGCTCCACACGGTGCACCGAGGGCAGTGCCCGCCCTCAGTCAGCCTGGACAGCTGCTGCCTCGCATCTGGGATGGCCGGGGGCAGGCTCAGGGCCCCAGCTGCCACACCACAGCACAGACCCTGCAGTTCAGGGGCTCGTGGCCCCCTTGAGAGCCTGTTACCTCCCCAGCTCCACTGTCCCCACTGTGGTAAATAGGCCAGGCTTGGAAGCAGAAATGGATGTGAGGCGGTGTCCCACAGGGAGAGGTGGGCCCTGGCCCTCTGCCAGGTGCTCTCCTCACATCCCCCAGCTCAGCCCGGCAGCAGACTGCCCTCTGTCCCCACCCACGCCCCTCCCTGGAGGAAGGCTGAGCAACAGGCTGGGACCAGGTGGGTGTTTGGGCGGACGCTGTGGCCCTGGCTGCCATGCGACAACCTGGAGGTGGTTCCCTGGCCCCAACCCCACCCACTGAACTGAGCCCGACAGCTGGGCTCTGGCAGCTTCCAATGTGACAGTCGGCCTGAAAGTGCCTGTGTCCACCACACAGCCTCCGATTGGCAGCAGGGAGGATGAACTTCACGGGGTGGTGGTGGTCGTGGCCGTGGCAACCGCTCACACTGTCATTAGCTGAGAAAATCACCCTGACTGAGCCACAGATAAGGAGCCCTCAAAGCCTCTCAGGGCCTCCAGCCACCACTTCTGCAGTAGATTCTTTAACAACTTTAAAACTCCAGGTAACAGAAAAGTTAGCAACATCGTGTGGGTGCTGCTCGGGGAACTTTCCCAAATCCAACACCTGTGTGACCGGCCCCGCTCGCCTCACTGAGGCTGGGCACAGGGCGTCTTGGCTCTGGTCACCCCTAAGAAACACGTCTGCAGTGTTCCTTCAGGCAGAGCTCTGGGAAGCATGCACACAGTAGGGCAGACCCCACTGCTATGGGGGACCAAGCGCACCTAATTTAGGGTGGCAGCAGTGGTCCCTGCAAACAGACTCCCAGGAGTCTCCTCTTCACCTGTTTCCTCAGAGTATAATTAGGAAACTAGATTAATTACAAAGTAAAAAAGTCCGATGGAGGAAGAGAGTAATGGGGGTTCTCGAGGGCCGAAGAAAACAGCTGACTCAGCCAGACCACAGCTTGCTGGACCGTGGCTGCCCCTTCGGAGCTGCCACCCACCGGTTCCCTCTTCCCTCTGACCAGCACGCCAGAGCAGCGGCTTCCCAGGAATCCATTCACTCACTCATTCAACCAATATATTTGTTCTGCGCACGCACTAAATGCCACTCTGCCCCTGCCCAGGGAAACGTGTCACAAACACAAAGAGAACAAAAACAACCTCTGGTGAGCTGAGTGGCACCTGTAGGGCCTGACTCTACCAGGAACGTGCGCTGGCCGGAGTCCTGAGGCAGAATGGGCTGGCATGGGCACAGGACGGCAAGCTGGCTGGGTGGTGGCTAGGCGGAGTGAGCGTGGAAGGGGCACAGGAGAGAGAGGCCAAGGTTTTCAGGAGGGTGAGGTCAGGTTTTGAGCCAGGGTAGGGCCAGGTCCAAAGCATGTTTAGGATGATGGACCGCTCCAGGTTGGGAAGGGCAGTTGGGGGTGGGGACAGAATTGGTGTCAGGGACAGCAGCAGAGGTGTGAGAGACGGTGAGAGCAGGAACTACGATGGCACCCCAGGGGTCCAAACACATGGGTGGGAGAGGCTGCCCGGGCTCAGGCACCATGAGGCCAGCGCGTGAGGCTTTGTGTCAAGGTGAGACGGAAACTAACAGCTTCCACATGTCTGTCCCCCCAGGCCCCTGAGGCCCATTCCTGCTCAAGCTGAGGACGCAGCTCTGCTTTGCTGTGAGAGAGGACAGGTCCCCACGGCAGGGGTTGAGGCTGTGACAGAGAACGTGAGCAGAGCCGTGTTCACTCCCGCCAGCCACGGGGGTGTTCTCTGTGTCTGACACCCGCGGAGAGCAAGGTACAAGCATCGGCTGGGCCACTTATCAGCCAGGGACTCCAGCTAGCCCCTCAGGCAGGGAGGAGGGGCTGGGGACTCTGCCTCCAGCCACCCTCTGGTCCCAATGACCGTCATGGCCTTGGGCCTGACTCTAGAACCCTTGTCCTCTGGAATCTTCTGGGCATCTCTTGGCCACTCAGGGAGAAAAGGTTTGCTGCTGTGTCTGGGGAAGTATCAGAGACAGACACTGCCATCCTCTGTGGCTTAGCAAAAGTCCTCCAAGGGTGGCAGTGGACTCAGGCAGAGCTCTGGGCTGGGGCGGTGCTGCAGGGGCCATTGAAAGAGGTGGATGAGAAGCCTTGGGACTGGACCAGTGGCCCCAGAGCATCCCTGCCAGCAGCCAGGGCATCTCTGCAGTGACGCTGCCCCAGCCAGAGGTGTTCTCCCCACTGGGCGTGTCCCACGGGAGGCGCCCTGGCCCATCCTTTCTGCGGTTCCCCTCCAAGCCCTGGTTATGAGTGCTGCCTTGATGCCAGCTCCGAGGGCAGGTCCCGTCCCATGAACTCTTGAGGGAGTTGCCGCCCTGCTCACTGCAGCTAATGGCAGGAAGGAAATGTTGCTCTGAGCAGCCCCAGAAACGCCACTTGGTCTTCTCAGAAACTAAGGAGCCCTGCAGGCAGGGGGTGGAGCTGGTCTGGAATTGGTTACTGGGTATCTAACTCCCCTGTAATCCACACCTCACCCTCAGATCTGTGTAACCTGGGTCTTCCTGGGTCATGAGCCTTGCGAGGCTCGCCATGTCTGGACCCAGGCGTACTTCCAAACAGAGCAGCATTGGACGCGCCCTGCTACAGGCCCCGCCATGGCAGGGAGAGCAGCGGCCAGTTGGTCTTTGTTCCCTAGTAGCCCTCCCAGCAGGGGTATTGCAGGTTCTGGGCCAGAAGGACATGGCTCCTGCTGTGCCGCTGTGTGCTGGTACCCTCGGACAGCCTTCTCAGTAAGGCATGGCTGTCTGCTCCCATCTCGGCAGGTACGTGGGACCGGGATGCCTCACACCATCCACAAACATCCTGGGACAATCTCTATCTGGGTAAACTTGAGATTGCCAAGGGCCAAATTCTGCCCACATAGTGCCTCCAACAATTTTAACTTGGCTGTCACCATTTAAAGAGTATGAGACCTTTTTTGTTTTTGCAGTTTTTGGCCAGGGCTGGGTTTGAACCCGCCACCTCTGGCATACGGGGCCGGCGCCCTACCCCTTTGAGCCACAGGCACTGCCCCAGAGTATGAGACCTTTATACACAAAGTCCAGAATTTCAGTTTCTGTTGAAAAACCAGAAAACCTAACCCCAAGGGACCTGGACCTTCCACTCCCACATGGCAGCCTCCCCTGCTGTCGCCAGGCCTGTGAGTGAGTGCTGCCACGTGCCACCCCGGCCCTGATGGCTCCTTTCTGGCCACCATAGAAACCTAAAATGGCTATCACTGCCTTGGGCCTTGGGATGCCGTCTGCTTTTAGAATTTTGGACGTGGACACACTGAACTCTGCACATTGCTAGTCTCCAAATCAGTCCAGGGCCATGGTGAAATTCATTTTGATTTGCTCAGTAACTGCAGGTGACGGTCTAAGCCTCTAGACTCAGGCTCCTGGGCAAGAGCTCAGAGCACAAAAAACGGTGGCCTCCCTGGCAGGAGAGGGGATGTCTGCCAGGGGCCTGCTGTGGCCTGTGAGCATGAGAAGGCAGCATATTGGGTGGGGAGACACGGGTGGCCACCCAGCCTATCACCACTCTGCAAGTTACTGCAAGCTACAGGTGCACACCCAGCAGGTGTGTCTGGAGAGTCCCCGAGGGTGAGCCCCTTGCTTGCCCTGGCCCAGTAAAGTGGCTCCTAAATCTTGCATTTAATAAAGAGATCTCAGCGTCAATGAAAAGCCAGTTCCAGCATTAAGCACACAGCCCTGGTGACGTGGATTTGTAATTTAACTGTAGACACCATCAAAGCATTAAAAACATTGACTTTCCCAAAGCAGCTTGCAGGGGTTGTGATTTCTCGGGGTGCTCAGGGGCTCGCAAGTTACCAAAGACCAATGACGCCTACGATGGACCTGTGCTTTGCACACACCGTTTCCCCCGCCCTCCCCACTCAGCGTGGTTTAGATTTTACTGCTAGGGCACAGTCCACTAGAACACACCACAGGGACCCCCATCAAACTGACCTCAGAACAGGAAGCCCCCCAGGGACAACATGGCTGCCCTGACAACCCAGGCCGGGCTCTGACCTTGGGCAAGGAGGGGAGAAGACGGCCAAGCTCGACGGTGCCCATGTGCTGGCGCAGCACACACCTGTCTTAGTCCACCCTGACCTGCTGACCACCCGCTTACCCAATATCCCCAGCTGCCTCCATGGCTGAGACCTGGGGCTGCGCAGAGCCTAACCCACTGCTCTATGTCTAGACACTCTTGTTCCAAACTGAACTGTGACCTTTCCAAACTCTGATTGGAGTCCTAACTCTAGTACCTCCAAGTGTGATCGTATTTGGAAAAATCTCTGCAGACAGTCAAGTTGAAGCCATCTTAAGAAAAGGGGAAATTTGAACACAGGTACACAGGGAGA